AAAGTGGGAACAGCCCCCACGGACACAAACTCTGTTGGCAAGAAGAGTATGATCGTTGAAACTCCATAAATAGAGAACGTAGAAGGTCCCCATATGACAATAACCTTCATTTTTAGAGCCGGAGCCGCGTTGCCAGGACCTCTTCCTGACATTGACCGCTGCCCAAGACTACCGCGTCACAGCACTTTCTTGAAGGTAAAAATCCTACTTCCCTTAGGTTGCACTAGAGAGGGAAGTATACTGGGTTGTTGCGAAATGTTTATAACTCTTCCTCATCATACCGCTCTACCCCTGCTTACAACTTTTTTAGAAAATTTAGTAGCTTAATTTGCTTGTGTAGAAGAAAGGAGCAGTCAGGAAACTCCTACGATTGAACTGCCTTGAACGGCCCACTTTCTTTGACAGCAGCAGTTTTTGGCTAAATTCCTGTTCCTTGAGCGTGCCAAAGCGGTTCGCAAACGTATAGAGCATAGTTTTGAAAAAGTGCGAAGAACCCGCACCATAGTGGTCCCGCACCCTTGACCTTGCAGACACGAGACCGGCACGGTATCCACTAGGCCACCGTCCCAATGCGTATCGTATTTGTGATGGACATGGGTCTGCTCCGTATCACAACAAGTTCCGTAACTTTGTTCAGAGAATCGTTCAGCAGATATGGAGTACAGTTTTGGAGTCAGCGTTCGAGAGCCTTTCGGGTGATATGCATCATATTTCAAATGGCCACTTCGACCTATCATCCTTCGGGTACCCCCCAGGAGGCCCATCGCGCGGCAAGAAGGCAGAGTCGGCGGACGAGTTGCAGCGCGTGATGTGCGATGTAGGACGTGCAATGGGACATTCTATTTAACTTGACGCGAAATCCCTAATACGCGCGCGACTCGTCCGCTGACTCGCCTTGCCGCGCGACGGGCCTCCTGGGGGGTACCCATAATCCCTCCCCTGGTTAGCTCCATTTCGTTGACGTGAGCAGCTGTGGCCCCATGATATGGAATGATGAATCGAGCTCTTACATCATTTCGACGGAGCATGATACTGTCTTATTTTTCAGATAAATTGTCTAAAAATGAATTTCAATGTACCACAAACTATACTAGAAGCTGTGCTTGCGCTAATCTATGTCTTTGTTCTGTTTATTATCGTCACATCCAAAAAGCACATCTTCAAAAACGCATTCTACTCTATGTTTGTGACAACAGGTATGTTATCGCTTCAATATCTGAACGACAGAATAACAAAAAGCATTCTTCGATTGCTAACGAAATCGAACCTGATGTGGCCTTTGTTAACAAAATTTTGAAAAGAACTACTATGATATAATATAGCCGCTCAGTTTTAGGCGAAAAACGCCTTGTTCGCGTTTGGCTCAACTGCCCTATAAGCTGGTGGAAACCCAGCACACGGGGAGGGGAAAACTCCGTTGTGTTGCCAGATGCTAAAGACAATTACTGATAAGGGCCGATGTAGTGGGTAGTAACCCTGGGTGCTTCCACAATTTGACTTGCAGTGGTCCAAGGAAACGGTCATGAACCGGGAGAACTTAGAGATGTTTGCCTACTCCCAAAGGTGAAGGAGCTCAGGGCTGGACGACCCCGTGCAGAAATTGGATAGGATGTAGGCAGGATGTGCTGAATGTGCGACATATACCGGTCTTTTAACATTATATTAAGTGCACTTCGAATGACTCGTTCACATATTATTTTATCCGTTGCGTTAGAGAGCCGAGACCAAGGAGAACCAAGGAAAAAATAGCAAGAAGTGCCTCACCTCGACCTGCATTATTACCCATAAACCAGAGTTCTTCAGTATTTTCAGCTTATTGAAACAACTCTGGTATCTATCTGGAGAGCGTTCTGATAAGCTACTAGCCATTTAGAAAGGGAGCGGCATCTCTTCTTGGCTGCTGATCATAGCTGCGACAAAACGCACATCTATGAAGCCTTCTTCAGGGTTTTATCCCACCACTGACTGTGAGAAAATTCCTCCTCTCCTTTGAGTGCCTGAAGATGGCATTGAAAACGTGAGGCGCTTTCAAAGCCACGGATGGGAACCCAAATGATTTGGAAAGCTGCTTCAGCTTTTTGCCGTTTTGCCATTTCTAGTTGTCTCAAATAAATCCATTCTCAAAACTGCGATGAATACTTGATCTCCGATTTTTCTCCAAAAAAAGAATGAAGCCACTGCTGTACTGAATAAGGAATAGGTTTCTACAAATGTTTCATAGTTCACTCAAATGGTAAAGCATGCAGTCGCTGGAAATGTGTTTCCAGGTTGGTTATTTTACTTGTTTTGAATATGGTTATTTTTTGTCTGAGTCTTGCCAAAGTGACGCTCATCTGCCTTCGAAGCTGGACATTACAGTCATTCTTATGCGTCAACATTTGAAAAAGTTGATTCCCAACTTTGATGCGAACGCACAAAATGCCGGGGAAAGATTTCCGTGAGAGCTCATTTAATATAACTGACTTCATTCAGGAATTGCCGACGTGACGTCCATTATAGTCTGCTGTCTCCTTCGCATAAACAATCAAGGCCAATTTATTGGGTCCAGACTTCAGACCTTTGTTACTATTTTTCTGTATACTCGCCACCTCATCCTTTGTTGCACATATGATTGGAAATATGCTCATCACAATTAATCGATTCTCTGCGCTTTGTCTCAAGGATAAGTACGAAAACGTAGGTGTTTCATAAGAGAACAATTCCGTACCTCTTTTTTGATCTCGAAACGCCATCTTATTTGAGCTACATCTCTGGGATACTTGAGTGTAGACCAGCACACAATAACGGTGAGATTAATGGTGGTCTCTTTTGAAAGGAGGCGGGAGAGGTCCTGCGGACCTACTGTCATTCCCGACATTGGAATAATCCTCATTCCTAAATTTGCGACAGCTAAATGATCAAGGAGTGCATACACTCCCAATAAAATTAAAAAAGCTTCTACTCCAGTATCCACTGGGAAATTCACATAGATTCTGCGAAATCCCCGGTTTCTACAAAATGCCATTGAATTTCCAAGAACTCAACTCGGTTGGATAACTAGAACAGTGTTTTAGGCCTAAGAAGTATGGGTATTTTTTTTGTCTGGGAATTGCAAAAGTGGCGTTCGTCTGCCTTCCAAAACTGTTAAATAAGCTTCCAAAAACCCTATAATTGGGCACGAGATCACTTCGTTTCGAAAATGCTTTGACAAATACAACCACCAGGTTCGCTCCCTCCGCCGAGTTCGGAATACACTTCCTGTCGAGCTTACATAATTTAACCTTCACAAAAGCCTAGATGGAACAATGGAATTTGTCTTTGAGAATGCATTTGAAATTGCTAGGTTTATCGCATGAATTCTTCATTGAAATGAAATAATAAGTTAATAGTAGTCATTAGACAAATCCAAGAGTAGGACTAATTCGTAAGGTCAATTGCATCCACCACAACATTTAAGCGTGTTCTTCCTGTAAAATGTGTCGATTGGTAAGTTTAGCGTTCGTCAGTTTTGGAAGCGGATATTCATCGAAAGATAACCATCAAGACAACTTGTTGATGACCTTTAGTTAGAGTGATAGAGAGCGTCTCGAAATATGGTATAAAGACACCTTGAAAACACTCTTTCCGAGTTTATGACAAAGGATTAATGACTTTCGCACTTTATTAAATTATAAATGCACTGAGGCCACAAGTACTTTTGTTTTCAGAAAGCAGTAAAGTTAGAAACGCTTCAAAAAATGGGAAGTTTCCCTCTTTCAAAAGTAGTAGTAAGGCACTCTGGGCAAACGCATTTCTTCTGCCTTTCAGTTTATTTTCGATTCTCATGCTCAGTGGTAACAGAGTACCCAGTTATGGCCTATTCAAGTTCTTGTCTGGGAGCTAGTTCGTGCTTCATGCTTCAGCTGTTCAAACTGGCCAAGGCTTTTTCTAGGCTGTATTTGCAGTTTCCAGAGTGATTCAGTTTCTTATAGAGAACAGAATCTCTGAATGATCACGTGTATGCGTCATATCCGTCACATTGTGCGAGAGTCTAAGATGAAGGCTTCAGCGCCAAACAGCTCTCCTCGAATTGGGTCGGACGAACATTAGAGCAGACGGGTATTCATCAAGTGCTTCAGAAAAACGAGCCATCTTCAGTATGTGGCTAGATTGTGTTTTGAAGATTTTGCGTTGCTTCTCCGATGAAAGTTAGCTCAAGGGTGGCGCGCCGGATGCAAAACAGCTAAGAGAACCATCTCAGAAAAGTGTCACTGGTTTTCAGCCGAGAGAAATTCGGTGGCTTAACTGATAGTGTGTGCAGCAGCGATGTACACAAACCAAGAAGAGAGTATAATGGTTAACGAGAAGCACATGATCTAGGAGATTTTCGCTTCCCTTCCTCATCCTCCCTTCCTCTCTCCACTGCCCTCCAGCTGCCACTGCAGCACCATGTGGAATGAACGGAAGTGTGCTAAGCAGGTGTTTATATAGCCCTAAGAGTGTTATCACAACTATCCTGCTACAAAACATTGATATCTCAAATCCTGTAAGCTACCCGATTTGTTAGCGGTTTGTTTATCCCATGAGCTTCCTTCTCACTCACTTCATTTTGCGGACGGACACACACATACATACATACATACATACATACATACATACATACATACATACATACATACATACATACATACATACATACATACATACATACATACATACATACATACATACATACATACATACATACATACATACATACATACATACATACATACATACATACATACATACATACATACATACATACATATACATACATACATACATACATACATACATACATACATACATACATACATACATACATACATACATACATACATACATACATACATACATACATACATACAGACATACAAACCGACACACAAAGTTAGCGCTTTA